TCCTCCTTCTGTGTGGGAAAGGGCCATCACAAGGGTCTTACAGTCAACAGTGGACATGCCCTGCAGGTTCTCCTCTTCCTTTTCAATTTTTGCTGAGCCCCCTTTAACAGTAGGCTAGCAATTCTTGTGTGACGAAACACAGGGGACTGCGTGGCTGGGTAAAGCGAATGTAGCATTAGAAGAGTAGCCCCGCGTTAATCCAATTAGCTTTTGCTACCAAAATTCTTAGCTCTAAACTCACAAAAAACTTGCAGTTTTGAGGGCTTTTTTGGATTTCAGCATTGTAGATAAGGGATTGTGGGATAGTATTATGTTCATTTTATGGATAATAAAACTGAGGTTCATAAAACTTAAGTTGCCAAAGTTTAGTCCATTAGTTGGAGAGTCAGGAGATGAATCTTGCTCTGTCAGATTCCAAAGTCCTCATTTATTCTGCTATAGAAACCAGGGGAGCAAAAAAGATTTCCAGGGCCATGTGCTATAAAGGGGGGATGCAGAGTTTGGGGCAAGCATATCAAAATATTTATGTTTCATTTCAGGATGAAGTCAAAAATTGGAGAACCTTCCCAGTATTTTCAGGAGAAATTTCCCGATCTGGTCATGTATGTCTATAGGAAACTACAGAACACAGAATACACAAAGCATTTTCCAAAAACTCACATCTAAATAAGCCTAGGTGTGATGGAGGTGGTGGTGGTGAGCAGGCTGGCCAGCCCTAGTGCCTCTTGAATTCAGGGAAGTACTTTTTTACTGTGTAATCCTGGGCGAGTCACAACTCTCTGGGCCTCTTGACATTTTTTTTTTTTTTTTGCCCACACCACGTGGCATGTGGGATCTTAGTTCCCCTACCAGGGACTGAAGCCATGCCCCCTGTAGTGGAAGCACGGAGTCCCAACCACTGGACCACCAGGGAATTCCCTGAGCCTTTTGACTAACCTGGTTGCTTGTGAGCAATGAATTGGATAGCTGATGTGTCAGTTCCTGGTGCCGTGTTCAGCGTTCTCCACGTTTATAACAAAAAAAAGCATATGCTCAAACTACTCTAGTCCTTTTTAAGGGTAAAGCTTAGTGGCAGGAGCTGGGAGAGCATCCTGCTAAGATTCCTCTTGTCAACTGCACCAAAGGAGTGAGTTCCTAAACCTCTAATGCTTTATGTTTTACATCAATTATCTCATGTAATTCTCCCAACAACCTTGCAAGATAAGATTAATATCCCTTTTTAGGAACTGAAGAGCCTGAGAGACTCAGGGAAATTGAACTACTTGCCCCAGATTATACAACTTGCACAGAGCGCAGTATAAATGGACGTGGTGTTATTGTTACCTCTCACTCGGCACCTTAGAACTTAATTACTAGCTCAGAGCTCTTCTACATGAGACCCAAAAGGTCAAATGGGCTCTGGGTGGCTCATTCATTCATTCAATATTTGTTGAGCACTAACTAGTATAAGTCTAAGCACCAACTGGATGAAATGCATTCCTTCTAGAATCACCTGTGTTGGTTTTCTATTATGTCAAGGCTGTATTTCTCAACTGTAGGCAATCTTGCCCTTCAGGGGCCATTGGGCAGTTAAAATGTCTGTCAAAGCTGAGGGTAGGGGGTTGTACTGGCATCTAGTAGATAGAGGTCAAGGATGCTGCTGAACGTTCTATGATATGCACAGGATAGCACCCCCGAAACACAGAATTATCCGGAAGAACAGAATTATCAGTGACACTGAGGTTGAGAAATTCTGCCTTAGTGGGCTGTGCTACCTTTGAACTGGCTGGGAGCCCAGGACTGTGGATTGTGTGGCTCACCTCACAGAGGACTGACTCGAGTTTGATGTCTTGCTTTTTGATCTGCGGTGAGACAGTTCCAGTTTCACCCCCTCAGGAAGTCCTCTGAATGCCCTCACTTTCCACACCCCTCTCTGAGTGTCCTCTCTGGCTCCCTAGCACCCATGGCCACACCAGAGCATGTTTCTCTCCACCCAGAGCATGATTCTTCCCCACTGGAATGATATATATATATATATAATTGGCTCCTTAGGGCCAATGATATATATATTTTTTGATGTGTATCGTACAGCCTAGCAAAATGTCTGCCACATGGTAATGACCAATAAATATTCATTGAAAAATGAATGATCCATCTTCATACATGAGTAATAATGCTAGGACACGCTTTGATGGTGTTTTATAGGTTATGAACTACACCTGCATATTTTACTTCTTTTAGTTTTCAAAATAATCCCGTAAGATAAGTGTTGTGATCCTCATTTTGCAGACGAGGAAACTAAGGTTAGAGACGTGTTGATTTACTCTAATGCATAGGAAGTGTCACTGTCTGAATTTGAAAAGATTTTCTGGCACGAAGTCTGATGTTCTTTCCATTTATCCTCACTGTGGTGGTGAAGATGAAGCTTTGTAATGAGAGGAGCTGTGAGAAAAAACAGTGTCTTAGGTTCTTTCTGAAAAGGAGATGGTCTTGACTTCCCTGGTGGTCCCGTGGTTAAGGCTCTGCACTTCCAGCGCAGGGGGTGCGGGTTCGATCCCTGGTTGGGGACTAAGATACCATACGCCGCAGGGCATGGCCAAAAATAAATAAATAAATAGAATTTAAAAAGGAGGTGGTCTAAAAGGGGTGTCACTGAATGAAATTAGCAAGTACTGGAAGAAACAAACTGAAAACTTTTCTTTAAGGTTTTAGGAGCAGCAAGGTTGCTTTAAGTTTTAAAAGTAAGATTTGTTTTTCTGATTTGTAGTGAGTACTTCGAGATGACAATCAAATGCCCATTTGTAAAGCATATTCAATAAAACTTTGAATTACCTGAATGTCTGATTTTCTCTGAGTGACATTTCTACTTTAGAGAGTAGTGATATCTACAATAGAAAATGCTCAGTGATTAATTCCTGGGGAGGTTTTAAGAAAGGCATCCTGCTCTTTAAAAATGGGAAAAGGAGCCTAATTTCAGCCCTCCATTAATTCGGGAACAATACACACCTTGGGGGTCCTTGTAGAAAAGGAAGGGTCTGATCATTGTACTCTCTACTTTAATCCTCTAAGGGTTTCTGTGGACATGTTGCAAATATTTCTTATTCAGTTGCCATTATCACAAACATTTAATTGAGCTTGTAGTTCATGTTAGGTACTGTGTTAGGCAAAGTGATTCTGTGCTTGGGCTTGTCAAGCAGAAGTGCCAGTTACACAGAGACGAGGGGAGCTTGCCTGCCTAGAATGCACTGAACAAGCAACACAGGAGAGGAAAATTATGGTAAGAATAATAGTTACCACCTCTTGAGCGCCTACTGCTTTCCAGAGCCTAATGCTTTTATATCTGACATCCCATAACAAACATGACAATGCCA